TTTTTAAGTGTACAAGTCACTGGCATCGAGCACATTCACAGTGTTGTATAAACATCATCACCATTTCCAGAGCTCTGTCATCATCCCAAATAGAAACTTGTTAAGTAATAACTCCCCATTCCTCCTTTTCCCCAGCCCTTGCTAACTAACCTCTGTTCTCCTTTCTGTCTCTATGACTTTGCCTATTCTAGGTACCTCATATAAGAGGAATCATGTATGAGTTGCCCTGTTGTATTTGGCTTATTTCACTTACCATAATGTTTTCACGGTTCACCTAAGTTGTGGCACGTGTCAGAATTTCTTTCCTTTAAAAGGCTGACTAATATCCCATTATATGTAAATATAATACATTTTGTTTATCCGTCTACCCACGGATGGGCACTTGGGTTGCTTCTACCTTTTGGCTAGTGTGAATAATGCTCTGACCAACGTGGGTGTACAGGTATCTGTTTGGTTCCCTGCTTTCAATTCTTTTGTGTATGTACCTAGCAGTGGGATTGCTGGATCATATGACAACCCTATGCTTACATTTTTGAGGAACTGCCAAATGGTTCTCCACAGTGGCTGCACCATTTTTCATTCTACCAGTAATGCAAGAAGTTTTCAGTTTCTCCATGTCCTTGTCAACATTTGTTATTCCCCTTTTTTAAAAATGATAGCCATCCTAATGAGTATGAAACATTTTTTTGAATTCATAAATGCCACTCATTGGCTATATTGTGGATTTGGAACCGTAACTGCCTCTCTTGGGCCCAGTCTAGTCATCACAGGGTCAGACTAGTTGGTTCCTGTGGTTTCTAAGGAGAGGGACGGGGGTATCAAAGACAACCCAGTCAATTTCTCAACTTGGGCCGGAATGAATGATGCAAAACACTGTGGCTGCTCCCTGGTGAAGAAGGTCGTATGCCCAGTACATTACTTTGGGAAGAGCCGGCTGAGCTGCTTCTTAGTCCTGATTGGTTTTTATTTGGGTGGCTAATTAGGAAAGACTGGAATGGAAGAGCTGGCTCTGAGCTCTGCCCTGCCACTTATTTTGGGGTTACCTTTGGCAGATTCCCTCAGTACTGAGCCTAAGCCTTCTCTTCTGTAAAATGGGGTAAGAATTCCTGCTTGCCATTCAGAATGTCAGGATCTAATAGGTTAATTTAGGCCCCCGAAATTACCCCATAAACAGTGCTTGGCAAGTTGTAAACATGTGGGATTTCTTAATTTGATCTCTGAGAATAGGAGCATGATTTCATTCTCCCATGCGTTTCCTGTGGCCAGTGAGTGTCTTGCCCCTCTTGCGGTTTACAGCATACCAAAAGGGGAATTAAAAAGGGAGGGTACTAACAGTCACTTAAAAAAAAAAAGGCTGTCTTCTCCCCTCCCTACGTGAGCAACTGACTCTTAAGAACATTTTTAAAAAGTACGAAGAAACCTGCTATCACAGGTGTAAGGT